TGCCGCCGTCCGGGGCTGTCCACCGCGGTGCCTGCGCGCGCCGACCGGTCATTAGCCCCAATGGCCGGCACCTGCGCGCCGGACGCGCCCCGGTCTCGCGGCTTGGGGGGGGGGCTGTGTATCCCCGCCGGGGGGCGTGTCAGCCGCTGCCTGGGGGACACGCCCCGGGTCCGCAGACACAGGGCCCCCACATGCCCGCGCCCCCCCGGATGACCCAGGCTCCCCTCTGAATGGGCTGCCGAGGTTTTCATTAAGTTGCACCTAAGATGTTCAGAGGGGCTCCCCAAGATGCCCCGATAGGGCCCCCCAATATCTAGACTGGCCCCCGAGATATTCAGAAGGCCCCTCCAAGTATTCAGAGTGGTCCTCCAAGCTGCTCAGAATGGCCTCTCATTAACGCCCCCAAAATATTCACATGGGCCCCCCAAGGTGCGCAGAAGCGACCCCCCAAGTTATTCAGAATTGGCCCCGTTATTCAGAATGGAACCCTAGTTGTTCAGTTTGGGAACCCCAAGATGCTCAGAATGGGCCCCCAATTGTTTAAATGGGGCAACATGTTCTGCACAGCCCCCCATATTTTCAAGTGGGCACCCCAAGATGTTCAGAAGGAGCCCAAGTGTTTCAATGCCCCCATGATGTTCAGAACGGGTCCTCCCCCGTTCAGAAAGGGCCCCCCAAGATGATCAGAACGGGCTGTGCATGATGCTCAGAATGGACCCCCAAGATGTTTCAGACTCCCCAAGATTTCATAACAGGGTCCCCAAAAAATTTAGAACTGTCCCCCATGGTGCTTAGAGCAGACCCCCAACATGCTCAGAACAGGCCTCCGCAGATTTTGAGCACAGGTTCCCCAAGAACGGGCCCCTCAAGATGCTCAGAACTCGCTCCCCAAAATGTGCTGACCTGCTCCCCAAGATTTCATAACTCCCCCGAGAGGCTCAGGACCGGCCCTCTAGATGTTGAGGGCAAGCTCCCCAAGATGCTTTCACTGGGCCCCCAAAATGTTCAAAATGAACCCCCACGTGCTCAGAGCGGCCCCCCACGATGTGCAGAGCGGGGCCCCCAAGAGGCGCAGATCAGGGACCCCCAAGAGGCGCAGATCAGGGACCCCTGTGTGCTCAGAGTGGCCCCGCCGTGGAGTTCAGAATGAGCCTCCAAAGATGCTCAAGACAGACTCCCCAAGATTTCAGAACAGCCCCCCTCAAGCAGCTCAGAAAGGCTCCCCAAGATGCTTACAACGGCCCCCAGGTGATTGGCCTAGGCCATTTGCCCACCATGTGGTCAGTGCCCACAGCAACTGGCCAGCAGCCCCCAGATTGCAAACGTACCTGCTCACTGACCGTCCGTGACCCCCCTCTCCGTCTCCGGGGGTGCCACCTTCACGGGCGTCCACTTCCCCGCAGCCTGTGCCCTGCTGGGGCCCTGCGGCGTGACCCCCGCGCCGGCCAGGGGCGGTGGCCACGGTCAGCGGCCAG